GAGCACTCGATTATTTGATTTCGCTTACGTAGAATAATTTACTGGCTAAATTAGTGCAAAGTTTTTCTTGTTCTAATTAACACACACGCGCGCGCGCGCGCACACACACACGTGTGTGTTGGGAGAACGAAAATTATATTTAAACATTAACTACAATTAATGAAACCGATCTCTTTTTGCCGGGACGCGCGCAAGTTCTGTTAATAATTTCGGTCGGCGCGATCAAACGACCGAAACCGCATTAAACGGGCCACTTTTGCATCGAGCGGGACGAATTTCCATTGGCGAGATTTTCCGAGGGAAAGAGGGAAAGAAGGGGAGTTGTGTGCGCGCGCGCTCGGCCCGACATCGCAATAACGACGCATTCGTCGGGCGCGAAAAATAATGTCCGCCGGATCGAAGCTGGGAGTCCATTTTTATCGGTCTATACATCTTGGCGGTAGTCGCGGTGGAAACCGTGAAGCGAACAAGGTGTAAGGGGGTGGGCGGCGGAGGGGACCTTGGTACGCAGCTGGCGCGAATATTAAAAGCAATCGCTCAGTCCCGCGTAATAACTGACCGCTCGATCCGCGCCGGTGTATATAGCACACAGTCACACTTTTCTGCGCTTTCGCAATCCGCGCACTTGCGTGAAAAGAATAATAGTCGAAGTCGCGCGGAGAGCTTTCATTTGTGTGTGCGTGTGTGTATGTGCGCGCGCGCGCGCGTGTGACACACTGCATAAAAAGCAAAAAATTCTTGCGCGAACTTCATAATACCCGCAAAGTGACGTATTGAAAAATGTTATACAGCTCGGTCTCGGCGAAATGCATGCATATTTTATGCTTTAATAGTGGAGTGCGGATTTCACTTGCAGGAATATTTAATGTGTCGGATATATATATATATATATATATATATATACATACGCGATAAAGTTGTAAAGAATAATCCGCTATATCGTTCTTTAGGAGAGGTGGGAAAGGGAGGGGAGAAAAAAAATTTGAGACACAAGTCCTCCGCGAGGTGCATTAATGATGAAAAACATTTCTGTACAACTGCACTTGCCTTGGAGACGACTGCTACTACTTTTTTTTTTTTTTTTTTTTTTTTTTCATCGGCGCGTCACGGTTGCGCGGGAAAAGCTAGGCGAGGGATGAGATGGACGAGGGCGGGAATGAAACGATGAAGACCATGTTCCGTCATCATGGAACTAGGAGAAAGAAAAAGGCGCGCGAATGACAAAGGAAGCCGTTTCGTTTCAAAAGACCCGTGTTTGCGAAACGAGCGCGTTACAACGACAAAAACACTCGTAAATTAAAATCTAGTGACATTAGGAACGTACATAATTGCCATTGGTTTTTGTCGAGTTTTTTTTTTGTTTTTATAGAAAAAAACAACAGGAAGAAAAAAATTAGTGGAAGAAACAAAGAGATTTTCTTACATAAGGGAGCGTAAAACAAGTGAAGAGGCAAACAAAAAAAAAAAAAAAACATTACTCCGCACGTCGGAAATGATCAGTTGCAAAATCGCGGTCGTATATTTGCCTTTAATTTGCCGAACGAATTAACCGGGTATTTGAGGCGAGCAAACGCTACCACATCGCGCGCTACCGTCACCACCGACGTTCGGGCATGGAAACGAATCGGCGGTCTCCAAAATTTAATAATAATTCTCGTCTCCCGACCCTGCTGTTCTATACATCGCCAAATATGACATTGCCGATGAATTCCCGCTGTCTCTATCGGCAACGAGAGAAACCGCCGCTTCTCTCTGCGCGCGAATTCGATGTTGTCCGGAGACCGCTCGGGATAGAAATAAATTATAAGCGCGACATTGCGCTCTCTCTCTCTTTCTCTCTCTCTTTCTCTCTTTCTCTCTGTTTAAACAGTTAACTAGCCGACGGGAAACCATACTGTGGAAACGGAAACCGTGCTGCGGATAAATAAGCGCCAAGATTTTGTTATCGTGAAAGATGTTTGACGTTTGATAACTGAAAGTGGAACAGACTGCACTATTTCTTGCGCGAGAACTTATTTTATATATATATATATGTATATTAATATAAAGTTCGTATTATTGATTAAAAGTAAACAACCTGTTTTACACCAGATCGTAGAAATATCGTAACAATAGAATTACAGTCGTACAGTTTGAAGGGGACTTAAGTGTCTCCAACTGCCGGATTCAACAACCGTTTAACGGAAGTTTGCTCGAGCATAAATTTCATCGCACGCTCTTCAAGATGAATGGCACACATGTACCGCGGCTTTCGGAATTTCGGCGCAGCCCTCTCTTCCTCTCCCTCCCTATCTCTCTTTCTCTCTCGTAATTCGAACAGCAAGTCGTTCGTTCCCGGCGTTATAATTGAAACTTTAACGTTATACGGCCTCCTCGGCTATTTCCACGTCTCCTCTGTCTTTGGTGCGAGAAGCGCGCGCGGCCACATACCTCGTATAACAGTTTAACCAGCATTCGAATTCCTACGGAATTAGCGCGAGTTCGCCTGTGAAATTTCTCGTTCGCGTTATCCCGCGGATGCAGTTTGCCGTGGGAGTAGCGACGACGGAAGGGAAAGAGGGAGGAAGGGAGGATTGAGGTTTCGTAAGCGAGACCGCTTACGGTCGCGACGGGACGGCGATGGCAAGGCCGGGACACGGTCGAAGAGAGAGAGAGAGAGAAAGAGAGAGAGAGAGGGAGAGGATTGCGAAGAATGGCGTCGTGAATTACTTTTCCAAATGCTCCCGATCCGACTCGAGGCTCTCCTTTCTACCGCGCCCCTTCAGGGTAGAAGCATCCATGGGTAGGTGGCTCTTCCAATTTCCAGGCGTGCCAACCAGATTGAATTTCTATCGTCGACGGCAACGACAACGACGAAGACGACGGTTGGCGGCCGATCATTTCGCGAGATATCGGGTAACTGGGTTATGTTTGCGAAAATGGCTTCGAGCCTCTCGATTTTTCTTGGTAATGCTACCTCTTCGTTCTCGACGTTCCTCTTCTCTCTGTCTCGCCCTCTGTCTGGTCTCTTACGTACCTATGTTTTCTTTTGTCTCCCTTTCCTCCTCCTCGGTCTCGTTTTCTATCGCCTCGTTATCGACTCTCTCTTCCGTCTTCGTGAAACCATCTCTCACTGAGACGGATTGAATGAATGGGATATCGAAGACTCTCACGTTGATCGACTGGACGAATTGCGTCTCATCGACAAATGTGTATTACATCAGACAGGAAAAAATGTGATTACGAAAAGGCGGATATTATCTTTCCGACGTGTGTATCTGTCGAAAAAAAGATGATGTGCAAATCGAATCCCGAATAGAGACATAGTTTCGAACTGTGCGAATATATTGGGCACCTCATGGAAGACCTCATTTAATCAATATTAGAAGTATAAGTGTCATTTGTTGTATCTTTCTTTTTTTTTTTTTTTATTACAAGACTACAAACTAAGAATGTCTCATTGATTGGTTGCCTTCCCCGCGGTTCTGTTAATATTGTGTACATGTATATTCAAAACTCTAGTTATATCTCGCAACTTCGTATTCGACGTACGACGTGTACAGCGAAATCCGTTGCAAATAGCTCCTGCGGGTGCAGTAGCGAAGTTTGAGAGGCACTTTCTTCATCCCCGCCCTAGTCTTTTCTTGTATCGGAAGGCAAGATCAGAAGAAGAAGTATTACCAAAGCGAAAGAACGACGGAAAGACTCTTTTCCCGTCTCGTCGCCGTCGTCATCGTCGTCGACATCGAGACACCTCTCGTCCGGGAGTGTGCGAGGGACCGGTGTGAACTTCGCCGTAGGGGATTATGCAAACGGGAGTGGTTCCTGAGCACGGCAAGAGAAAGCTAGAGAGAGAGAGAGTGTGTGTGTGTGTGTGAATGTGTGTGTGTGAAAGAGAGAGAGCTGCGTTGCTGTGGGTGGATGATGATGGTGACGGTGGTGGTGATGGCGATGGTGGTAGGTTCTCTTGCTTGTCATTACCACGTTCGTGGCTTCCACCGCCCGGGGTGCCGCTCTCTTTTACCCTGGAGAAAGCCCGGTGCGTGAGGGTAGCGCCAAACTCATCCCTCGGTTTGCGCGCGAGAATATACTTTTTTTTTTTTTTTTATCTTCCTTTTAAGTGGCGCACCGATGACGCTCTCCAAGCTAATTACGTCTGGTAGTGAAGCTTCGCACGAACCCGATAAAATAATTCGAGATTGAAATCGGCGCGAGATGCGAGGAAAAGTAGATTGTAAAAATCGATCGATTTTGTAGGAAAAAAAAAAGTAAGTAAATAAATAAACACAGGATCGTGTTCGAGTAGATCTACATTTGTTACGTTAAAAGTTTAGCGCGGCAGTGACATGACAAAAGTTTTGCACAGTTTTTCGTATAGTTTCGCACGGCGGTTCCGGGTTTCGCTTTTAAGCGGAACGCGAAACGTAAGGTGCGCTTTTACCCGTTCGACTTGCTCGGTGTTTTCATCCCCCTCGGGATCGTCCACGAAGTGAAAAGAGGAGGCGGCGGCGACGGCAACTGAGAGTTCGGTTAGTCGACTCAGAGTTCTCGAGTACCTACTCTTTATTACTATGTAATTAATTGTAATGGGGATTTCAACTGGGAAAACAGTCCGGCGAGAGCTTCCTTTCCCCCTTTTGTTCGTTCGTTCTTGTTTCCTTTCTTTTTTTTTTTTTGCATTTTCCCACTGCGCTCCCGTATAATACGTATTTTCATATTTGTTTCTTCTCTTTGCCGTCGCAAACTCGCAAGCGAATAAGATTTGTCTCCGAGTTTGAATTCGCATGTGGCGCGTAATATTCTTTTCGAGGTTATATCCTCGTTGTACTTAAAAGAGACAGAGAGAGAGAGAGAGAGAGACTCAAGGATATAAAGTAGTTTATTTGAAAGTCATTGAGAAACTGAAGTATGTGGTTACAGTAACAGTTGCGCTTCTGTTTGTTGCGTGTTCTGTTGACGCGTGTTTGTGCAACATCTAATTGAGAGATTTTACTTAATTTGGGCATTTTTCTGTTTTTCAGATCGACCCAAAGGTAGCATTTCCTAGGAGAACACATCCAAAGGTAAGAAAAATGAATTAACACACGACAACGCACATATCATGACCTATAAGATGAGACACTCTTGTGACTCTGTTTAATGTCTTATGTTAATTGTTTTTAATTTTCAAATTTATTTTAAATCATGCCATTTGTGTGTTTTAATTTCATTATTTTAATATTGTTATTTGACCTCTTTTGAGATACACACACACACACACACACTTTATTCAATTTAATTTATCAGCTGAAGAAAACTCGAGTTAGGGGTCAAAACTTTTTGTCCCGTTTCCATTTCCGTAATTCATTGAAATACAACGATGTCCCTCAACATTCTGTTTGCTCGCAAGAAATCAGGAGAACCGCGGGTTTTCCGTCACATTACCGAAGCACAATCGTCGAGTTCCATTCACGCAGCGCTCGCAGTGTTACCGTCGTCGGAAGCGAACGAGAAATCGAAATGGTTCGTTCTTATACGCGCGAACGAGTTTACACGAGCGTTTATCATAGCGATCCTTCCGGTGTGACGGAATGAAATAGCGGGTTAATGAGAATTACTCGTAGACTCGGGTATCTCGCGCTACGTTCATTTGAAACGCGGTGGTTTTGCCGCACGGTAAAAAAAAGGATGGAGGATGTGAAAATGTAGCGACGGGGGGATGCGGGGACGCGGAAACGAGACGGAGGGAGAATTGGAAAGATACGGGCTTAAAAAGTCAAATGACAGCGGGCGCGCGCGTGCGCGAGTTCGGAGAGCGTGATTGAAGAGAGAATAATAAAGCCGTGTCTCGCGTTCTCGCAATAAGAGCAATTAGATGTAATTCACTTCAAAACCCGGTATTACTTCCTCGCTGGCGGATAATCGAAGCGACATTCGAAGGAACGGGTCGAGCGATGGTGCGAGTAAGCAACGAGATTGCGCGAGTGCGCGTCGCACAGAAGCGTCAAGAGCGAAGCGGCAAGAGAAAATTTGTGTGCGGCGACTTGATAATATAAATGCCAGGCACGCGAATTATCGGCAAGCGACTGAATTGCGCTAATTGTAATTGTACCCTTTCACTTCCGTCGGCAACGCGATTCTTTATTTCCCTCTGTCGCGCGGTTTTTCTTTTTGTTTCTCTTTCTCTCTTTTAACGCTATATTCTATACTTTTATCTACCATCGAATTTTTACGATTTTACGCGACACGTACGCGGTCACTTTTCTTCCATTTCCTCGCGTACCAGCGCTTTCAAAATAATAATAATAATAATAATAATAATAATAATATTTTTATCAAAGACACGAGACATCATTTACAATGCGCTGGCCGAATTGTGACGTAGCAAAAATGTTTGCCTGCATACTCGCGCGCGTCTCAAAACAATCGGAAAGTGTCGGACAATTTGAAGAATTGAGCGCACTCTTTGCCACGAAGAAAAATAAATCTCGCGGCAAAATGGGACGCTCTTTTTAGGACAAATGTCACTTTTGTGTGTTGCATACAGACAGTCCTGTTTGGAAGTTTCGCCTAAAATCTCATCTATCACAAATACGGACTGCATCTCGCGGTGCCAAAATTTTCGTTTCTTCACTTCGCGAAACTTTAACCATGAGAAATAAAATATTCCTATAGAACAATATATTGCGCGCGCGCAAGATGAGGAAAACTCTCGCGCGCGACACAAGATAAAAAATTTCCAGACAGTTTAATATTAGAAATAACAGTTTACACACACACACACACATATAAGTCTTGCGGTCGTTGTTTCCGGAGTTTTATCCTTCTTTTAATGATTTTAAAACATTTTCCTACTCGAATGCAAATCCTTACTCGTTTAGTCCGACGAATCAGCATACGAGATTACATGTTCCTTACGTACGTGTATTCGCAATTGTGTAAAGAGAATAGAACACGCGCTCGTTCGTGTATGTGTGTGTGTGTGTGTGTGAGGGAATTTCCTTTGAACGATTCTTACTATCCTTGTAACACACGTTCCGAACAGAGAACAGAATGCAACAGAACGCGTGGGAACGAACCTGTTGTCGATTGTGGTCCCCCGTTTCTAACGAATGTCTGTCCTTACGAGAGTAAAGGATAATGGTTTCACGATTTTGCTCGGGTGTGCACGAGCGATTCCGCCTCGGTGACTGGGAGTCAAGTTAATATCGCGAGGGCGCGCACAATAGGGACACTTAATACCGTCGGTTCGTCAACACCCGAAACGCACGTTAGACCCGCTGAACTTTAGGACGAGAACGGTACCCGCCGCAAAGTTCATTGAAATGTCACCGAGTGCTCCCGCGCTCGTCGTAACAACCTCCTTGAGACCGCACGCCGGAAGCGCTTTGTTACCGCACTTCCGGTCTGACGGAAATGGCGCAATGCGCTTCCGACACGGCGGAAAAGTAGGTACAGTCATTACCGAGCTTTCTCTCTCTCTTTCTCTCTATCTTTCTTTCTTTCTTTCTTTCTCTCTCTTTCCCGTTTTATCACGCTCGTTCCTTTTGCGACTAACGCACGAAAAAAGGCAAAGATTTTGTCACTTTGTTTGAAGGGAGGGGGGGGGGAGAAGAAAAAGGGGGAAAAATACGAAGCGCACTTCGGATAACAGCCTCAGAAGTTTCGCAGTCGCGGAAACGAATGCTCGCGGCAACTCGTCGACTTATTTTTAATCAGGATTATACGACGCGGTGAAAGAGAAATATTACAAGTGCCCTATTATTTCGACGCGGTGTAACTAACGCGACGCATAAACCGCTGTTTGCGCTGTCGATGGCGCGGCGCCCGCCGTCTCCTTAGCCGTCTCTTCGAACGATAACGGCATCGCCCGTAACTTCCCCGGTTATAATACCCACTTGTTACGGGATAGTAATACGTGCACGCAAGATACACACAGGCGTTACGTATCGCGGGAGAACATCGCTCTAACTGCCGCAAGCGTGTGAGAGATATCGTGAAGAAAGAGCGAACCGAGATACAAAGTGAGAAGAGAAAAAAAACGGAGAATGTCGGGAACGTAGGAAAAGAAGCGAATAAGGGGGAGAGAGAGAGAGAGAGAAAGAGAGAAGACGGAGACGAATCAGAATAAAAAAATAAGCGAAAGAAAAAGAAAGAAAGAAAGGAGAGTAAGCAAGAAGGGAAGGAAAACGTAGGAAAAGAGGGTGGGAAAGCCGGGGATAGTTGCATCATGTCTCGCGTAACGAGCTGTCGGCTCCCGAGGGTGTTCAGCTTCCTTTCGCTCGCCGCTGTCTCTTGTCCCTCTTCGTCCATCACAGCGACATCTCTACGTGCCCTCACAGTCGTCCTACGTGTTCTTCCTCTTTCACGAGGATTCGTTTTGTTTCCCCCGTCGAGCGAGAGATATCCACCCTACTCGACTCGAGCGGGGCGCCAAGCATATATCGTTGATACCCCCCTTTCTTCCCCCCAACCTTCCAATCGCGCGCGCGACAACCCCCCCGTTTGCCGCCACCGTGTCTTAATATTATCTTATACGATTTGTTTGATTTTGCCTCGCGGAAGCCTCTCTTCCTCGAATTTGTCGTCTTGTTTCTCCAAACATGCACGCGCAATCCCGATTTGATGAAACCAGAGAGAACGGTTTGGTTTTTAGAATCCGTCAATTTTCGCGCTTGCGCGTATATCGGCGACACGTTTTCTAAAAACGTAACGCACGCCGAAGGGAAGGGGGATGAAGCGTTAAAGGACGCTATCGGAGTTCTCCCGCGAGGCCTATTCGTAATTCCGAGCGAAGCAAGGATTTTACGGGGGGATGTATGTGTGTGTGTGCATATCCGTCGGACCGGTCCCATTTCGTCTTGCGCCGGTCTTGCGCTCTCAAAAGGGACCTGTTACATACATCTGCCGAGGCTAAATACGCTCTCGAGCAAACTCCCTGGTCAGCATTAGAGTGAAATCCCATGCATTTTATACGCGCCCGGGTCATTCAGCGCGACGACTCGTCGGTTATGGCGGCTGTGTACTTTACCGACGACCTCCCCTGTGTACGCCCCGGCGGCGTCTTGTGGACACAGGCCGACCCCCAGAGAAGGAAAAAGAGAGGAAGAGAGAAAGAGAAAGATAGAGGAGACTCTCCCCACGCAAAACCTTTCGTCGGAGCTTTCTCTTCTTCCGTCGCTTTGACGCGTCTACTTTCCTACTCCGATGTTCGCGGGGTCTTCCGGCTATACGGACATGAAACACGGAAAAAGGGGGACGCGATATAAGCCGGAGGTGGAATGTTTGCGCGGCGTAAGTGGCGGCTCCACTCCCCCGTGCGATGTCATACCCCGTCTTTCTGGGGAGAGGGAGGATCTGTCCGAGTCAAGATTGTTCGAGCTGTCTGCGTTCCCCGACGTGACCGCGTTTATGATTGTTGATTTTCGGGGGAAGCTTAAGTATTGCCAAAGAAAAAAAACAGGAAAGCGTCGCGTTTCGGGGTCACCGGAATATCGCATTTGACTCTTTCTTCTCCTCCTCCTCCTCCTCCTCCTCTTCGTCCTCTCTCGCAAAAAGTGTGTGCTGAAAGATGTCACTGTTGCCGAGTGGCGTGTTTTGTTGCGACCTTCTTTCGTATAGTTCGAGCTACTGTGTATAGTTTCGACATTTTAGGAATCGAATCAGGTTAAGTCGATATACAGCGCGCGCGCGTAGTAGTTAACACAAAAAAAAAAAAAACCGCTGCCACACACCGAAGCATTTCGCGAACGATATAAATGAGCGCATTATTGTCCGACTTGCTCTATCGCGCGAAACGCGATAGCCCGTCGGTAATTAGTCGCCTCCCGAGAAGAGAGATATACGCTACCCTCGAATCCTTCCTCTAACACACACGATAAATCGCCGAGTTAATCTTCGAAGGAACTTCCTAAAACGCGAGCGGCCGATTCCACACGCCAGCGTATCCTTTGACCGCGAATCTCTCCGAAACCGCCACCTGTCGCGGCTGACAGTAGTTTTCCCGTCGACGGGAGACGGAAGCCTCAGATATGTTGTGTCGCATTGAGATAAGCTAAGCTCTCGCGTGATGGAGCAGCCCGTA